AGGTTATACGTATTGTAAGCTTCAAAATGAAAAAGATACATCTATTACATTTGCTTTTTTATACATGACGCCATACATATATTTCGATAGGTTATTTAACATACAGTCTGATAAATACAATTCTGAAAACTATGCTCGATAGATAGTGTCGTCTACCTTCATGCTCGTCTTCATATGTCTGTGACTATTCAAAGGATGTTTAACCAGAAACAAATACTATAATAAAAATGAAAAATCATAATAAATTGTTCGCGGCAACTTTACACTCTATTTTCTTAGAGATGAATTATAGTCACATGTGCAAATATCAGTTGTGTCGGATAAAGAAGCATTATTTTACTCGACCTGCGTCTTCTGACAGGATTTTGCTATTATTTGGACCCGTATAAATGTACCACAGACATGTCCTAAATCGATTCATTATCAAACTGACATCATTCATAAATCTCTTTAGATGAATTCAAAGTTAAAGTTCTGCTACACATTCGCACACGTAAACATAATACATCAATTATAATAACACTTAAATGGCATGAAGCAAAAATCGGTGAAAATACCGTTCGGACATATATAACGAGCCGTTTTTTGTTCATAAGATGTGTCTATTTTAAGTCCTTTAAACATAACAAGGCCATGTTAATTAGAAGTTAAGCAAACATATGGTTATATAGAGGTTTAGATCTTAGCAACTGCTAAGGCCATGCCAGAATTTGCCTTCATGTATATTGTGTATGAGAGCAAGTTATAGCATTAAGATCGGGAAAAAAAATACTGCCAAATGTGCCGAAGTTCAATGTGTTCGTGAACAGAGTTTTCAGCTTTATGGCACAGTTAAATGGCAATATATAATTTTTGAGTCAGTGTCTTCACCTTGGCTGTTGCGAGGACTAAAAACCTGATACAGTATAATAATAGTGTACGAACTATTTGCATACATGTATTTTAGGTTTCTGGAGGTGTCATCTGTTCAACTAGAAATGTAAGCGACAGACTCTGAGGAAAACTGTAACACTTATTTAATTTGAGGATAGTTCAGGAACTCGTTTCGACAAAATTTATCAATGGGAATAAGAAAAAACACATAACAGCTATCAAAATGCAAATCCTTTTAGCACTTCTTACTAGAGTATTGATCATGTGAACAAAATTCCACCAATATCGATCAAGAATAGAAGTAAAAGTAATTCGGACCATATACACGGCTTATCAGAAAAGCGACACAACTCCTCCAGAAATATCGGAAACCAACAATAAATTACGAGCTTACAAACGTACAATTATGTAGGACACTTGATGATGTGTACCAATATTTATGAATATTGGCCAAAGGTACGTAGGAGAACCTCAGACAAAGCGATATAAAGACATCAACGTACTAATCAGAAGTACACATTTCAGTGTGTTTTGACCAAATCAGTGCATTATCATGAAATTTGAATTAAGCTAATTCTTGGCTAATATTTCTTAAAAGGGGAAATAACTCCAATGAAAATTGTCGGCGCAAATATTAGGAAGCGCTTTACAGTAGCGTACATTATATGTTGGCAATGGACGATGATCTTGCAGAATGAATAACGCATGCTATATTACATCAGAACAACAACACTAAAATTGGCACATTCGTTGTGAATTCAAATGGAAATTGACTACATGTACATGTAATATTGATTTCGATTTTTTTTAAACAAAACAAATGCATTTGGTTTGATAAAACAGATTTTGGCACTTGTCTGGCGTTTCGTGTACTGGCCGACAGATAAAAATAACATTGAAAACAGTATAAATTATACAAGTAGATATTTACAACTTTCTAGAATAAAAATACTGTTTGCGTATAAGATCCGAAACAATAAGATGGTGTGTTTGGGAAATAAAAAAGAAAGGTCAGGAAAAGCATGAAAGAATCATATACGAGGAGGCGAAATATTTCACTCCAAACTAGATGTTACGGAAATACATTATCTAATTATAGAGGTTAACATGGAACGTGTCATATGAGTAAAAGATGAACTCGTGTACCAATTTGTTTGTTTGTTTGATTTTGTTTAACGTCCTATTAACAGCTAAGGTCATTTAAGGACGGCCTCCCCTGTGTGCAAGATGCATGCGTGTAGTGTATGTATTTTGGGAGGCTGCGATATGTTCGTGTTTGTCTCCTTGTGATTGTGTGGAACTGATGCCGACTTTATAGTGCTACCTCACTGAAACATACTGCCGAAGACACCTAGCAGGACGCCCCACCCGGTCACATTATACTGACAACGGACAAACGACAAACCAGTCGTCCCACTCCTAATTTGCTGAGCGTTAAGCAGGAGTATAAACTACCATTTTTAAAGACATTGGTATGTCTCGGCCAGGGGACAGAACCCAAAGCCTTCCTCACGGGTCGATCGCTCAACAAATGGCCAAAAGTGACGCATTGTCAAGAGAGACATTAGGAAGAAGAAAGTAATTTAGAAAGGAGAGAAGAGATAAGGTCCCAAATTTAGTCGCCTCTTACGATCATGCAATTGGGGGCAGCAGGTACAATTCTTACGCCCTACCTGCAGGGTGGACTCGGGTACCAAAGGGAGACAACTAAGAAAATAAAGAGTAGGTAGGAGAGAAAGAAAATCTGAGTTCGTGGGTTGGTTGTTGTACAAGGTTTAACGTCATATTAACAGTTAAGATCATTGAAGGAGGTTGTGAGTGTGTATGTGTGATGGAGGCAGGGTATGTTGGTGTATTTGTATTTAAGGTCGTAAGTATTGCAAAAGGGTCAGCAGAACAAATTAGTTTCTTCTCACGTTTTCATCCAGTTTAATACAGCAAGCCTATTCTTTCGTGACACTTCAGGGACAAACTTCTAGGCATCCACCAGCAGCAAGTGAGCGAGATGAGTGCGCTTCTCAGAATGTGCTTTCTTTCTGAAAGGGAAAGTATATAAGCGTGTTATTCCTTCTTGCCTCCCACAAGTTCCAGTATTTGCTATGGATATGCCTTCCCTTCAAACCAATTATCTGCCACCAAGGAGACGCGCAACTCACACTCAGCGAGGTGCAATGGGTATTACAAGCGACATTTAATCGGATAATTACATTTCATGCTGTGACTCGGTATTTTTTGCAGTATGGATCTATAGTCTGCCTGCTAACTCCCAAATGTACAATCTATGTTGTTGTGGCCTAAAAGGGGAACTAAAATGTTATATTTATCTTCCAACTTTACAGATGTTTTGTGACTTAAAATTTATTTATTTATTGAGTTCTTAACGGCAACTCAACACAGAAAAGGTATTGAGGGCTGATAAAAAGTAAAGGTATTAAACACGCTTAAGGATATAACAAACAAACTTAAAAAGACAAATGTCAACTTGAAGAGTAAACGTGGCTAGAGTCTGATACAGCTTTGTGAACAGACCATCATTTCTCAGGTAGGATAGATTTGGTCTTTGTTTTATTTTTGTTGAACGTCTTGAACAGCTAAGGTCAGTTAAGGGCGTTCCTCCATGTGTGTTGTGTAAACGTGCAAGTGTGCCGGAAACAGGGTATATTGGTGTATTTGCCTCCTTGTGATAGAGTCCTATCTCACCGACATACCATGCAGAAAGCACCCAGCACAGCATCCCGCCCAGTCAAATTATACTGATAATGGGTGGGTGTAAAAGTTATTGTCATAGCCCTAAAAACTTAACGTTAAGCAGAAAATAACAACTGCTATTTTTAAGGACTTTGGTACCAATCACCGGTTATAGGGTAAACAGAGCATAATTTGTCGTCTATGCATTGACTTCAATTACTTTGTCAATGTAATCCGATAAACTTTGTTATCAACGTTTTAAAATCATTAAAAAATGAAGTTTAAAATCAACAGGTGGTAGCAATAAGTCGCTTCCGCGGCAAGATCTTCCTTTTCAATCCCTGATATTCCCAATGTCCGGAAACCAAACATAATGTAATTTGACATTCTGATACTATGTTATAACATTAGCATTTTACCAACTGAAATATTCCTTAAGTTTCGTTGCAAAACTTCCGCAGAAAATATTACTGCATCGTTTAGTAGCATGCATCCAAGATAGGCATCTTTTGCAACCATGTCTGCGGCGCCCTTATCATCATCTTTCGATGTGTTATACCGGTTTGCCTATTATTCAAAACAAATGTGTGATCATGTCTTGTACATAAAGTTAGTAAGCGACAGTATTATTGTTCCATTATTGTACACAAATTTTACATTGAATACTTTGAGTTTGTTATATTTCATGAGATTGTGTTTATAAACACAAGTTTATAAACGATTGTTCAGCATGTTGAGAAAACATCATACCTGTGTTTTCCCTTTAATCATACTGTCTGAACTTTTATAGTCCATTAAAGTCGAAAGTTTGTCTCGGTCATAGCGGTCAGTCTTCTACGGCAGCCATATTTGTTTTTCTCGCACCTAAGACAGGGATATCCCACGTGATACATGTACCACATACTAGATTTTTCTATCTTGTCCGATCTGTCTTGCACCTTTACGTGAAATATCGCGGAATTTTGGCGATGTATTCATCCGTCGCAAACGCAAGTGATACACTCTTGCATTGTTTTGTAAACACTTGTGTCATACAAGACTGTCGTAGTCGGGGAACGATTACCAAAGGTAAAATGCGATCCTACACACTTGCGCTAATTGTGCACAACAAAATACCTGTCATCATTTGTTGACAATCGTTTTATAACGTCATTAATTATTGATTATTTAATGTATTCTCGTCTGCTCGATTGCCTGTAACAGAATTAAAATGGACTTCAGAATTGGTGATACAGTACATGTTGGACAAAATAAAAAGCATGGTAAAGTTGTGTCAATTAAAAAAAAACTTAGGCACATATACGTGTTACGTCATTCATTCGTTTGATGGTGAAATTATAAGATGTTCAAGGCACGAACTAATCAAAGGTCTTGATGACCATGTATTTGATGATGAACTGCTACGTCGTTTTGATCCACACAATTCACCACCTAAAAACATGTCCACGAGAGATTCTGTCCTACCCTCGCGTCGCAGTGCTACCGCCCCACCCCCGAGTCCCAGTGAAACCGCTCCACCACCCAGTCAAACTGCCCCACCCCCACGGGCTACCGCCATCTGCACCCCTTCCGGACCGAGTTTGACAATAGATGACGAGCTACATATGGATCTGCCTAAATTAAGAAGATCCCAGCCCCGTCCATCTAAAGCTTCTGTAAAAAAAAAAGCAATAGATTTATCGCTTTCACAACAGACGACGTAGACGATTTTATAACAGAAAACGAAAATGAAAGTACTAAAAGAAAAACATCCGCACATTTAAAATTGCTACATAGTTTTTTTTACAACTCAGCAGGAAAGTTGAGAAATATCGGAAATACCACACGAAGAGCTTGATCTACTTCTAATTTTTTCATGAGTGTTAGACAAAAAGATGGGTCTGAATACGAGCCAACTCTAAGAGGAATGTTGGGAAATTTTGAAAGGGGAAGTAAACCAAAAAAGTACGGTAAAAGTTTAATAACATCTGTATGTTTCAACAAAAGGAAGCACTTTAAAAAGCAAACAAAGAAAATTCTAAAAGCAAGGTCTTGGAAATCAACCAAAAACAGCAGATGCGAATCCCGACGCGGATATCAATGTACTTTACGATGCCGGGGAACTGGGTTCCGATTCACCAATTTCCATTCTAAACACGCTATGGTTCAACAACACTTTGTTGTTCGGAATGAGGGGGTAGGTCATTCGAGCACAGGGCTCTGTGCTGAGGTGACGTTCATCATAGATTCGAACAAGAAGTAAATAGAGAATTCTTGGAGTATAATGAGAGGCAAACTAAAACTAGGACAGGGGCAGACATTTCGCTATTTAGAAAGAAAAAAAATATACAAAACATACAAGAAGAGGAGACCAGCGAATTTCTCTGAAAATTACCACCCGTTCTAACTGGCCGCGAGTACGATAAAAAAAACTACGATCAGTGCTTCGCAAGATACCCTGTGGGCAAGAACAAGCTAAAAAGTATGATGAGAAACATGACAGCCAATGCGAACTTAAAATGTGAGAAAAGACTTACTACATGTAATACTTCCGTAGGAAACATCTCTGTCAGAAACTTCTGTAAAATGACATCCCTGACACACAGGCAGTACAGATCACCGGTCACAAAATCCGAATTCTTTGAATAATTACCGAGCAATGACAAGTGCACAAAAAAGTATCATTTTCTCTATGCTTTGTAACACTACTGACAACAATATGACATATCGAGGTCAAAACAGTCGCGTCCCATACGTGTACCGACAATCCAACATGTATGCTCAATAGACATCCGAAAGATCTTTATTTACAGGTTATCCATGGCGGTGTGTTCAATATCACAATTAACAATCACACTAATCCAGTGGTAAATCCACCTAGACGGGGATTCAGACGTCAAATCCTAAGACTCTAACGAGGAAATGTAAGCTCTTTTAAAACTTCGTGGCAACAAGTTTCTTTGATTCGAAGTGTGACGTCACATCGAAATTGACTACCTGCATTATATTCTTCTTTTTATGTTCTGTTTTGATGTCGTTAGATTCCTTATATTGTAGATAAAATTTGATCTTTATTGTGAATTATGTTTTATTCTTTGTAAGGACGAACTACATTGTTTACGCGGAAGCATACAAACGCAGCTTTAGAAGTTAAGGGTCCGTATTTATTTGAGGCCCCGACTGGATACGTGTAGACAATGGCGAAATTGAATGTTTTTAAGTAAAAGGTTCGGGATTTTTTTACCTGTAACTGAGCTAGATCGGGTTATCTCAGTCGAGGGCTAAGTTTCTGTAACATAATCCCAACCGAGGCGTAAGCCGAGGTTGGGATGTTACAGAATCTTAGCCCGGGACTAGTTTGGTTTATTATTGTTTAACGTCCTGTCAACAGCTATGGTTATTTAAGGACGGCCTCCCCTGTGTGCAGGATGCATACGTGTAGTGTAGGACAGGAGGGAAGGACAAACTACCGTTATATCACTCCTGGATTATGCGCTGACGTTTTGTTTGTAAATAGTTTTCGTTACAGGTGGAGTATAAATTGGTCTGGGGTGGATGTTGCGGTATCTGTGATGAAGCATTCAAGTGCAATGGCACTATAAATGATGCCGTTGGAAGCACGGTCCCACTACAAACAGAACACATTACATCTCCAGCACACACGCAGGCATACACACAGATATAAGCAAGGTGGCATATGACTAGTAGTTAGCGCCTGATAAGGCAGCTCCTGCGAAATCCTCAAAAAATGTATTGATTATTGTTAATGCTTATTGTATATCTATAAACTGTAAAGCGCTTTAGAGTGGCTAATGCTAGCTATATCAAATGCTGTATATTATTTATTGTCCTCTTGCTAACATGCAATAGATTACAACCAACATGGATACTAGTTTTTTCATTGATATTCTTCTATACTAGTTTTTTCATTGATATTCGTCTCGATCCAATCCTATTCAGTTGGTTTCAAACTCTTCCACCGCAACTTGCCTTTTAATTTATCTGCATTTCAATCTGTGAAGCTTGCAAATCGTTTGAACAGTTTTTCATTTGTCACCACAGGAACTATAAAAGTAATTAAAATAGCGTGTAATTTGCTTGGTTAAAAATATGAAACAATTTTAAGAGCTCTGAGCATTTGTCTGTCATACGTTATGGTATCCAATCAACAACAAATTGTTGTAGCTTCTGATCAATATTTTCGGAAAATATTTCATATGCATATCTTACAGGTTCAGTGTTTTTTTAACTGCCATTTTACAACAACCTGTTCCTTTCCAATTGGGAAAATACAAGAAGTATTGCGCGCACCGAAGGTGCGAAGCGACTTTGGGTGGGTGGGTGGGTTCCTAGTAACCACGTTACGTATCAAAATATACGAGAGTGTATTAAAATAGTGTAATGAAGCCTTGTACAAATTTCTAATAACATTTCAATTACTTTGTTTGCTATTGCTAGGGTTTAAAGTCCTCGCAAAAACATGGTCATATCAGGAAATGAGCTTACGAAGCCACTGCCGGCAGGAAAATTAGATAGCAAATGGAGAAAACTGGAAAGATAGGCAACAAAAATATCCTTAGTGTTGCAATGGGGGCAACAGATCATTTTTTTAGTCTCTTCAATATCCTCTTAGTAGAAGATACAGTGGAAAATTTCCGATTTTGTAGATGGCCCGACATTATTTGCTTCCAACGATCATGCAGTGGTTACAGCAGGTTTGTTCTTTCCCCAAACCTGAACATTTAAATAAAGATGTTAAATAGATATTCAATACGGAATGTTGGAAAGTTTATATGAACAAGAGGCCCATAGGCCTTAACGGTCACTTGCTATATTTATACAAAGAGTTGATTTTGTTTAAAACACAAACAGAAATAATAATCAGTGACAAAAAAACAATAAAACCACCTTATTCAATATCTAGCATACACATTTAAGACTAAAAAGTATTTGAAACTAGCACCTCTGATTCTAAACAAGGAAAATGAATAAATTTTAGCACACTGACTCCTTTGGGCCCAACCCTACAGGGGGGTGATCGTGAGACCCTAGGGTCATAAACCTTAAGACCCTTCCATCTATACAGAGTGTTTGATTCTACCATATCTGGGTTTTTGAGAAGACTTTTTTTTGACCGGGGGGTCAGTCAGGGGTCATATGTGTATTTGATTCTACCATATCTTGGTATTGAGAAATAGATTTTTGAAATTTCAGTCAATTCGACCCTTTTTGCAGCACCCATCAGCCCCGGGGGGTCAGTCAGGGCTGATATGTGCATACTATCAAACTGCTACCCAACGCTGATAATGATAACCCAAATTGAATTATTTCTAATGGAAATTTAACAAATGTTGGTCCAAAATGTGATTTCCCTATATAAACTATAGCAAAGTTTACCCCCTCCCCAGGGGTAAACGTGAGACCCCAGGGTCATGAAATTCACAATTTTGGTAAAGCACCTTAAGACCCTTCCATCTATGAAGAGTATTTGATTCTACCATATCTTGGTCTTGTGAAGAAGGTTTTTGATATTTCAGTCAATTCGACCCTTTTTGGCCCCACCCATCAGCCCCGGGGGGTCAGTCAGGGCTGATATGTGCATACTATCAAACTGCTACCCAATGCTGATAATGATAACCCAAATTGAATTATTTCTAATGGAAATTTAACAAATGTTGGTCCAAAATGTGATTTCCCTATATAAACTATAGTAAAGTTTACCCCTCCCCAGGGGTAAACGTGCGACCCCAGTGTCAAGAAATTCACAATTTTGGTAAAGCACCGTAAGACCCTTCCATCTATGAAGAGTATTTGATTCTACCATATCTGTGTCTTGAGAAGAAGATTTTTGAAATTTTTAGTCAATTAGACCCTTTTTGGCCCCGCTTCTCAGGCCCCTGGGGGTCGGGGACCAAACCGGCAACTATTTCTGGTGACCTTTGTCCATGGAAAGTTTCTGCAAAATTTCATTGAAATTGGTTCAGGGGTTTTGGAGAAGAAGTCGAAAATGTAAATTGTTTACGGACGCACGACGGACGACGACGGACAAAAGGCGATCGCAATAGGTCACTTGAGACTTTGTCTCAGGTGACCTAAAAACAATTAACACCCGCCCGTGGTATTTGCACGTATTATTTAGGCATATTACATAATTGGGCAGAAAACAATTCCATGGTTTTTTATTCTATGAAAACATGTCTTAGTTTAAGACCGTTTGTCTTTGAAAAGGTTTTGACACATAATCGAATCGGTAGCGCAAATTCTTTATGTAGGCATCCTTATTTTGATATTGCTGCTGCACTCCAGTATGACGGTTAGGTTCGATTTCGACCATGGAACCTTCCTGTAAAACTTTATTGAAAGCGGTTCAATGGTTTTAGAGATGTCATAAATGTGACTCGTTCACGGCGCACGAAGACGTACATGTACAATAGTGATCGCAATAGACGAACTGATAAGATATGCATCCTGCTTGATAAACATGTAACAGGAGCGTGTTTGGCCCAGTTTGTCAGTCCCACATCCCGACTAGGTCCTTATCTAAAAATACCAAACTAACCCCAAATATACCAGACGAAAAGATGTGACAGCACAAAGGAACCAAATCCATACATCCGACTGTCCCGTGTACAATATACCACCAATCATTTATCCCACATTTGACAATACGAAAACT